TGAAATATCTCTGTGGTAATGTATTTAATATTTATTCACACATAGAATGTAATGGACTGGGGAGATTAGTCGAGAAGTTTTCATTAAAGAGATCTGGTGTACAATTTAAGACAAGGCGAAATAATTAATACCAGAGGTAGGTCAATCATCAGGGCCAGTGATGATTAGTATTCATAATTCAATGCTTCACTAATTGCTACAATTCAACAGATACACTTTAAGCTAAAATCGAAAGGGGTACGGTCAGAGTGGAGAGAGAGCACTGGAATGGGGGATGGAACGTTCAATGAGGGGGAAGCTCGAGCTCCTTATTGGCCAAGAGAAGAGGAGAGAGGTAAGATGGGAGTGGTCTGTATCTATGAGATCACGAAGGAGTTGGAAAGGAGAGGCGATGCAACAGTCGTTCGCTTCGAGCCTAACTGGAAACAACGTTTGTCTCTAAGTTTCAGTGCGTTCGGTACTCTTCGATTCTATCGCTACACCATGAATAGGCCATTCTCAAGGGAAGTACCTGAACCTTTCTGTCAAGTGGCGGTGGTGCCGACTGGCTTTCCTGAAAGGGTATTCACATTGGCAGAAGCCGAGGAGTTCGGCGACGCGCTAAATAACTGCGTGGTCAACTACAAAGAAGCACGCAGAAAAAGAAACCTAAGGTTCGTACAACCAAGTTTTCTGTCTTTTTTCAAGAAGAATGGAGGAATACTTCTCTCATGCGAGGACGAAACCACGGTTCGCTGGCTAAAAGTGGCAGTTAAGTTTGTGAAGTTGACAGGTGGTTGCACTATAAGAATAGACGATAAGGAGGCCTTAGATAACAGGTTCTTAGTTGAGGGTAGAGGCACCCATTCGAGATTCGATGCGAACAATATCATACAGAACCTGGAAAGGTTCAACAATGAACTAGACGTATCGAGGTGGAAGGTAGTACGTGAAAAATTGACGAGATCCGGGAGAATAATAACCATTGAGATGGAAGGAAGATCAGTAGGAATGCTAAGAAGAAGACGGAATCGTTTATCTCTCGACCAAGCTGGCATACATAAATTCACCATCTTAACGATCTCACCGGTGGGCCGTACACGGCCAGTACGACAGGTGGAAGTGATTGAGATAACCGAAGAAGATCTTGCAGCAATACCGAGCAGAGAGATCCTCGACTCATCGGACTCTGATGGAGTCGTTGTGGGCCTGAACGACTCCACAACAATTGAAGAGGTGTCGTCGCAATCAAACGCAGGCGATTCGTTTGACGTCGATGGAGATGCGTTCATCCTGTCGACAGACCTAGAAAAATTCGCAGGACTTGAGGTGGAGATCTCGGAGGAGGTGGACGCGCGCACAGAACAGGCCCT